GGCTCCCCTTGGCATGACATAAAGAGTGACTGTTTCTGATTAAATCTCTCCATGTGTGACAGTCAGATCGTGTTATTATCGAACACAGGAAGGATGAAAGAGCCATTTCTAGCTGAACTTCTGCATCTGATACCTTGACGAAAAGAAAAGTATTTCCACTGAGGTAGCTGCAGTGTATATGGTGAGCAGAGCCTGCACAAACAGGCCAGCAGAAATGGTGTCGAGAGCACGCTCAGTTACAGAACGTGGGTAGCGGCGGCATCACAGCATCGGGCCCCCTTTTCTCTATTCTTAGCTCTTCCTCCTTCTCTCGCAGTCACACATGACTAGGTACTGAAGAGGAGAGGTAGAAGAGGCATCTTGGGTTTCTCTCACTCTCTAATAAAAATGAGATTGCGTTTACACTTTGTGTTATCACACTGTCTGTACGAACCACCGATCACCATTTTAATCTATCTTTTATTTTTTTTATCATGTAAATTGTATAAAAGTGCAACTGATTGTCCAAATGACAAAGTTCTACGCTGGGATGCCATTGTTTTCTATTGCTATGCTATTTCTCCAGCTAAATACAGACCACTTTTGGCCCGGGCAGTTTAATTATTCATCGCTTAATTTACATGCCACACAAACACGTATAAATATGAACCCCGTATGTTGTGGCAAACACATTTAAATTGCCATTTTATGTTGCCAAAGCTAGATGTAGCACAGGTTAGGCCAGGCATTACAAATGATGTAACACCAATGCAGCCGTAAATATCAAAAGATGCTCGATAAAGATGTGAAATAGCTGGTTATCTAAAAGCTGATTCTCACAGCCAGATGGTTTCTGGGCTAAGAGCTTATATGCGCTGATAAAGACCAATAAATGAAATTTATTGGATGTAAACGTAACATCTGGTTGACAGCGCATATAATCAGAACCTCAACACAATGGGTTCTTATTATGGGGTGACAATGTCTCTTGTTTTCTCTCATATTTGTATATATTTCTCTTGTTTGCTAGAGAATGGATTTGAGCTGATAGAAACAGGAACTTAAATAACCACTTGTTGCAACCAAGGTATGCTGAAGAGCATCTCTGAAACCTGTCAGACCTTGAAGGAGATGTGCTACAGCAGCAGAAGACCGGGTGTCATTCCTGTCCCCCATGAACAGAAAGTGAGGCTGCTGTTCACTCGGCATCGCCTGCTGTCAGGTCGTCTAATTTCTCGGCATACCTTTGGGCCCTTTAGTACCAACTGAGCATCATTTAAACGCCACAGCCTGCCTGCGTACTGTTGCTGACCATGTCCAAACCTTTGTGACCACAGTGCACTCATCTTCTGATCGCTGATTCCAGCAGGAAAGCATCGTGTCACAAGGCTCAAATCATCTCACCAGATCACAGTTCAGTAGACCACCTTTGGGAATTGGTGAAGTGGGAGATTCACATCATGGTGCGGCTGACACATCTGCAGTAACTGTGAGATGCTATCGTGTCAACATGGCTCAAACTCTCTGAGCACTTATTTGAATCTGTGCCATAAAAAATTAAGGCAGCTCTGAAGGAACCTGCGTGACAGCCGAGTAGCTCATCCAGTTTGGCTTATTTACCTAAAATTATTTCCAAATAATTTTTAGTAGAAGAGCATTCTGATTCTTGCCTCCTGTACTCGATGCAAGCAGCACCCTCACCTAAGACACGCTGAAGTGTTTTTTAGCAGTAGCCTGCTGTGTGCTAAATATTAGAAAGTATGACTTCACAGTTCATGTGTCACAGACATGAGTCTCACCTAAGCTTCTCTCTCTTTGTTCCCTGTTGCAAGATTTCTTTTTGATGCGATGACAAAACTGCAGCTGGGTGTGAGTTTGACATCACTTTTACACCAACAAAAAGCAATTTTAACCTCACTGTTTGTCTACCATTTAGACACCTAATCACCGGGAAATTGCTCAGTGGGTCGGCCCAGGGACTTTACAAATTCTGACGAATAAATAAAAGGAACAACAAATCACCTGAGAGATGACGCGAGGAACCAGTCGCTCTGCATAACAATGAAAAATTAGGCTGTTTGTTGACCGTAAAAAGGCAACTCCCGTACAGCTACTCGTACCGTCGATCAAGCGAGCGAGCAGAGGTGCCGCAACCAAAACAGAACAATGTTACTCCTACAGCGTAATTTAGAAGGAAAGTCAGACTAAAGAGCTTTCGCTACATGTCGTCCTACCTAATCAGCTCTGAAGGGCCTCACTTGAAGGTGAAGTGAAAAGCTGGCCGTCATCTCAAGAGAGGAGGCACAATTACTATTAGAAATTCACATGGCTACGCTCTGAGGGTTTCTCACCTGCACTGAGCGGGTCAACCGCTGCGTGGAGTGAGTGTGAATGTTAAATTGTTGGTTTCAAAGTTGATGAAACTTGGATCTAAAGCTGTCGTTCGTCAGCCCACCGGTCGTCGATAAGCACGGTGGAAGGGGGCTGCACTGAAATGCATTCAAACTGATAACGTGGCAGCACGTCTTATCTGTTCAATCTGGTTTCTAATAAGGTGTCAGAGCTGTTAGGTGTTGCGTCAGTTCTACCTTCAGGCGGGACTGTTGTATTTACCTGAAATATTAACACAGTAAGATGCTGTGAGGACCTGCGTGCCAGGCAAACTAATTGGAAGCATGGAAGCAGAAAAAAAAATACCGAACAGGATACACATGGAAGAATCCAGATTTCAGCTGTGAACTGGCGACTGAGTGAAGAGCATCTTTTCAGAGGGTTTTTTTTTTTTATCATTATACACGAAGGAAGAACCCCACAAATGCATGGGTGGATGAGGAATTTCTGCACCTTAGCTGCTTTGCACTTCTGCCTCTCCCTCTCTCTCTCTCTGGCTCTGGGTAAACAATAAACACCAGGCTGCTCAGCACCTGTAATCCTTCGACGACTCAATCAACATTTGTAAAGCTGGTCACATGAGGCTCGCGTCCAAAACTGACTCAGCCGGCTGTCTCTGAGCTCCAGCATCAACATCTCGGCTCGGTACAGTCATGGCAGTTCACTGCTGCCACTCCGTTCACGGTTCACCGATCAAACCAAGGGCCACGCTTCCCGCCTGACAAGAGAGCCAGTGCTCAGATCCAGTAATCCTCTCTGCCCAACCCGCCCTCCGGAAAAACACGCAGCATCACAGCGGCGCAACAACAACGCACACCCCTCCAAGGCCTTGCTGCTTATGCACTCCGAGGTACATCTGTCTACAAAGCTGCCTCCTTCATCCAGTGTCAGTGAAGCTCCCTCAGGATTTGGCGCCTGCGCCTGGATCTTTGCCTGTTTTTCTTCCTTTTTCTTTTTTGTCTGCCACGCCTTAACCCCTCTCCTGCTCGCTGTCATCATAACGGAAAATCAGAGTGTTGAAATGGAAAACGAAGTTTTGATTGAAATACTGTGGGCAGGAATTTGGACACCGCGGAGCCTGAACAGCATATGTTAATAAGTGAGCAGAATACAGCCGGTACATTGTTGAAGCTGTTGTGTTTTGCGAGGGAGGGACACACCAGCTGTCACACCTCCTCCAAGTCACGCTTCGGCAAAGACGTGCATCATAATCAGATAGTTACATCAGACTCCTGTGAGCCGGCGAGCGCAAATTAGTTCAAAGATTTGGGAGCGTAAACTGGCCTCACCCGTTGCTAAACACCAATCCGGCCAAGAATCTAATCCGCGATGCCACCAGGAGACAAATCCTAGAGCTGCTCTGCTGGCAGGAGCCGGACGCAGTGACAGAACAAAGGATTTTGCACATATTCTGTTTCAAAACTGTCGAGGAAGACACGAACGCACTTTCCCCTGATCTAACGGTGCGCTCTGTTGCTAATGAAAGCCATGCAAATTCTCCTTTAAAGGCTTATTTTACTTGCACCCTTTGTCACCGCTCCTCTCAGACACCTCGTTCCATTGTCTTTCTGCGCCCCTCCAACTTTTAAATATGCCTTTCATCGGTCGAACTCCTGAGCGGCTGCCAGGAGCACGAGCTCAGCAATAAAATCGGCTCCAGCTTCCTCCACTCTGTTGCTTTATGCAGTCACTATTGTCTAGACCTGTTTTCCCTCGTAAAGCGGCACAACTCCTCGTTTTGATGTGCTTATTGAAGCTAGTGTCTCGTTATCCCTTATCTCGACACCGAGCTCCCTCACAAGGCACCACGAGAAAGAACAAGTGACAAAAACAAAAAAAACCCCACACACACGCAATTTGTACTTTTTTTTCTTTTGCACTATAAATGTTTTGTTTCTTCTGTTTCTTGTGATTGCTCACTCTTACTGAAAATAAACATGGCCAAAGAAAGTGACTTACCCTCTAAAACAGGCCTTTTGTTAAGCAATGTGCATGAATAGAACTGAAGATTTATTTAAACTGCATGAAAAATGTGCAGTGTTTTATTATCAGACCTTTTTTTTTTAACTATACGGAAAAATACATTTAGTTTGACCCGATCAAACCATGAAGGAAATCCTTCATATTTCACAAAGCAGCCATTAAGCCATTATTTCCACCTCCTCTCGTAGTTTACATGACCTGAAATTATCATGAACGAGGGCAGTTTCTAAGAAGGTTAAATAAGGGTTGAGTTAATCGCAACTGCCGGATATCAGCGGTCACAGTGGTGGCAGCGTTTCAGATGTTACAGTACATGTGAAAGTTCATTAAGTTGATTAAAGTAGTAAAAGCTGTGAAATGTGAGAAAAACAAGGCAATCTAAGTCAATTTTCAGTGGGAAATGCCACCCATTTGCAGCCTCTGAAATAGAAAGAATCTGCATTTGCATGGCTGCTAAATGTCATTTTAAATTGCACGTCGTTTATATTTGTGTGTGTCACCTTAGACTCCGCTGAGCTGCTGCGATAGAGATTTTATTCACCATTTTCTGATTCCCCGGCTTATCAAAGATGTAATTTGGGGTGAAGTTTTAAGCGATACCCATGGACACATATGCACAGCCCCAATTACTTAAATCACTGGCCTACCTTGAACATTGCCAGCCCGGATCTCCTCTCTACTCTTCAGAACTGGCATGATGGAGTGATCTGGGATTCGACTCCTCCTCTCATAGCCTCGGATGAAGGGATGGTGGACAGACGAAGGCACACGCGGAGGGCTGAAAAGTGAGGTCTAGCAGGCTGAGGGATGAGCAGAGTTGTGCTTGATGGGTGGAGAGGGGTGACGCTTGGGCTGTTATCAGTGTGAGGGGGTAGTGGTGGTGGTGGTGGTGGGGAGGGGGAGAGCAGGAAGGTTTAAAAAACCAAGAACAAAAAGTCTAATCTGCAAAGAACCAGATCCAAACTGGCTGAAAAAATGCTTTTCACTGAGCGTTTTAGAGGAATTTAAAAATGGATCATCAACTCAAAATGTCAGCACTCTTATGGGGAAGAAAAGCCGAATTATGGCGAACGGAGAGTGTCGAACGGGCGGACTTTCATTCGTCTTTTTCCATCTGATTGTCTTTCCTCTTCCTCCAAAGTTGGTGATGCAGGTCTCCTTCCTCAAGTCTGCAAGTGTGTGAATACTGTTGCCGTGGAGATGAGGAGATGAGCAGCAGTGTGTGTATATGTGCGCGTACTCTTCGTCTTTTTCTTCTTCTCCTGCTTCCCTCTATTCCTTCTTCTGTCGCTCTGTGCCTTTGCTTAATTTAGCCAGTCATGATCCTCGGCTTGCCGGCCCGCTCCTCGTCTGAAAGAGACAAGGAAAGAGTCAGATGGCCGAGTAAGGCTGCGGATGAAGTGTTGTTGGTGAAGGCTGAAAGCCACTGTGTACACAAGTCAATTGCCTCTGAGGTCAAGGCTTAACTCCGTCAAGCCGCTGTGTCTACATGCCCCTTTCACTGCAATCTGAATGTGCTGAATGTTGTTACATTGTTGTTGTTGTTTTTTTCACAGGAGATACTTTTGGTAGTTTTTTTTCCTTCTCAGGCCTTTATAAGGTCTGCCTGTACTCAATAAACACGCTGGCTTTAAGGCTCGTTATTAAATTAATGAATCAATGCAACACTGATTTTTTTAGGTACGATTTTTTGGAAAGATATGCTAAAAAATTTACTTTCTTCTGCCAGAATATATACCAACACAGAGCACACTAGGAGATTATACATCCACATCCTGGTTTTCATCTGTTACTGTTTCAGATTGCGATTGTTTATGTCTGATTATTTCAGAATTGCAGCCCTCAATTTATCACATGTCACATGATGCACATTACACCAGTGGGGATAGGCATGAAGAAGACAGCTTAAAAAGCAAATGCTGAATTTAAAATATTCAAAAACAGGAGTTGGCTAGTAGAGTGTGACTGAAATCCTCAAGACTCTATTTTATAGCTATAGATATTTATTCCACTATGTGCTCAGGTCAGCGCACAAAACAAGTGGCTGTTGTAAAGAATTCAATGGGCTTCTGGGAGTTTTATGGGAGCAGGACAGTACTTTTGACTTTAAGCTTAAAAAGTCTCTGGTGTGATTCCCCTTCATGGTTAAAAGTGTCATTATTGATTTTTGATCAATTTATTGTTTTTCAAATGTGCAGAATCCTTAAATCTATGTGCAAATTAAATGATTGTTTTTAAACTTGTTTGTTCCCTGTTTTTACACAGATCTTCCAGGGCCGACAGAGTAAAGCAGCGTAGGCTAAAGGTGGGAGGATCAACTCAAATATCGACAGTATTGATAACAACGCTGGTATTGGTGTCGGACCGATATTAGCACAATAGGATCGATACTTTGTTTCTATCCTCTAATTGAATTGTGTTGAAAAAATAGACCTCAGACATGCAGTATGAAAAATGTTTAAACCTTTTTATGTTGACTGTCACGTCTATTTTATTTATAGCATATTTAAACAACAGAAGCTGACCTAAAGTGCTTTAGAGACAGCGCCATTTTCAAGGTATCCAAACAAAAAACAACCCCAGTTTCAAAATACATGAAAATCTGAAAGGTGTGTTTTTAATTGTGATGTAATTTGGCACATGAACAGCTGATCACAGGAATCATCCAGCCTGCTTCAGGAAATAAATAAATCCAAACTTTCCTAACCTTAATGATCTAAACCAGTCTCAGGGATAAAAAGCCTGCAAATCACCCCTACTTTGTCTTTCCCATGAGTCTGAAGACATACATCTGCATACATTACTGAAAGATGATATCCTTTCAGGGATGACAGCTTAAATTCTCAACACTATCAGGGTCATTTAAGTTAAAAAAGTGTGATCTGGTTGTTTGGGCTCTCTCCTCATGCCAGGCAGCTCTCTGTCTCTCTCTCTCTCTGTATTACCTCCCTGTCGTTTGCATCAATGGTGAAAATAAAATTAGGGCTAAAGTTCTTTTGAACCAGAGAGCTCTGTCTTTCTGCTTGTCCTGTCCTGCATTCATTAAACAGCGACATTGTCATGCAGATTATAAGCTTCAGATATTGCATGCCTTTACCTTTATCTATTTTGTTGATTTTGCTATTGTTTCTATGCATAAAAATATAAAAATAAAAAGCAGGATTGGCTTTGAGGTATCTAGGACAACGCTCTTTGGGCGAACTACTAGAGGCGTAACTTATTCTGCAAGTGGACTAAGAGTAGTGGCATAGAGGGACCAAACTTTGAAAGAAAGGCCAAAGTGGCAGAGATACAATCAAGAACAAAATCAGGGAGAGAGAACACAGAAGGTGGAGATTAAAGAGTCGAAGTGACAGGCTTTGTATTGAGGCTAGGCTAAATTTGGGCGCAGCATTGTGACTCAGGTTGTGGATTTTAATTCGACCCTAAATCATCGTCAGCTGATCTTTTGGACTCCTACGTGGTGTCTTAAAGGGGAGAAGAAGGTACAAGTAAAAAACAAGTGGACGTCATCATCAGACAGCAGGTTGAAAAACACAGTATATACGCAGGACTTCTAACTGGTGCAGCAAAAGTTGGATGCAGCCATGCAGATGCATTATTTAGCTTTCCGTGCTTGCTTTTTAAAACAGCGGGAACGGATAAAGCCTAGGCTGTTAGAGACATGAAACATTTATGGGAGGAAATTAACAGCACTGTGCATTATTCTACGAAAGAACAAGCAGAGCAACTAATTATTATTTACACACTACAGGAACATTTTACTTAATATGTACAAATAACTTTGAAAGTAAGTTATTTTTTACAAGGAAGTGTTTAAGAAGTGTTAGAAATCATAGTTAAATGTTCACGGTGAGTTGTTTTTTTATACAGAACTACGTGGACTTCTTTTTAATGTTGGCATTAATTGTACATTCATATATTAAATGAATGTTACATTTGGTTTGTAAGCTGAATTAAATGGTTTTTCCTCACTCTGAGTCGGACATCGCATAAAAAAATTGAATAAGATTCACCGGCCACCATTGACAAACTTCAAAACACTGATTAAGTTTTAACGGACTGCAATTCAAAATTGCAAAATGTTTTTGTGTATCGTGTAAAAGCTCCACTAAGGACCACAGTTGCTGCAGCGCATCAGTCTCGTGCTCTGTGATGGCTTGGTCACATTAGATGACCACCAGCTTGTGACCTGGAAAAATCAGCGGTTCCCAGTTGCAACCAAAGACAAGGTCACCCAAACATCGAGCACGCAACATCCTCATCATCTGGGCAACCACTTTAGATTGAAAGGTGACTGCGGAGGCAACCTGTCTCCAAAGATTCGCAGCCCACCACAGTTTGCGGAGGAATTTTTAAATTTCTGTTTTATCTCTCTGAGGTTAGAGCTCAACTCTGAATGTAAGGAGTTAATGTGCATTGCTGTGTATGCAGATAGCTGCGCATTTGAGATTCATCACAGTCAACTGATCACAAACATGTTGCACATTAATAAGGTCAAATTCCCAATTTGACCTTATTAATTTACAGACTAATAGCAGACTAACTCTGTCTTGATGCATCGAGGACAGTAACTGGTCCCCATCTATGCATAACCATTACAAAGGCAAGAAACCTGCAAGTTCATTGCACATGGTCGCGGTCTCAAATCACTAAGTTCCCTTGTGGTGGTATAAAATGATGTAATGATCCATCAGTATTAAAAATATCTAAGCTGTAGCCTGACTAATGTATGCTATGTCTAGTTTTTCATCCTTTAACAGATCTTTACTGGCACACGCTCATAAGATAGGATATGCCTATTTCTGGCAACATGTGCGTATTTATTGCATCTTGAAGTAGATGCAGGATATGTAGGTACACAGAGTTTAGCCCTTAGGAAAACTGTCAGAGGATATGTGCATGTGTAGAATTTTAATCCCGTCTGGCAGTGAAATGAATTATTCATTCAACAAATTTTATTTACAAAAATCCATCTTTCTCTCTGACTCCTTCTAATTATCTCTGACTCTCATAGTGGCATTAATATGATTCTGATGGCTTGACTCGTAGAATAATGCGGTACATCCTTACATAAACCTTTTGCATTAAACAACTGGACAAGGCTTATTTGTTTATTCATTTAGTATCCTCGCTATGAACCAACAGCTTCTCAAAATATTGAATTATGCAATCCCAGAGAGCCATTTTATGGATGTAAATGTGAATGCTTTTATGGTTATGTATACGTAACTCAATATTACTCAAAATGAACAGCGGCTAACTGATTACTTGTTTTATGGCATGTGAAATTAGTTTGTTTTTAAATGGTGATTTTGTGTTTTTCATGTACAGCATTAACGGACCAAAGTATTGAACCACACATCTGAATTCAGGTGTTTTCAGCCCAGTTGCCACTGATGTTTAAATCAAGCACATGGCCAGCCTGCCTGTACAAACATATGTGAAAGAATTTTAAACGAGCTCTCCGAGTTTGAGCGTGGTACTGTGATAGCATGGAAACTTTGTCAGTTTTTAAAATTTCATCCCTCCTAGATATCCCACAATCAGCTGTTAGATATATTATTGCAAAGGTGAAGGCTTTAGGACTTAGACCGTGCCAGGTTACAGAGCAGTGCGTAAAAGTCGCCAACACTCATTAACATCAGCACAAAAACTGTGCGCCGGGAGCTTCATGGCTTTGGCTTCTATGACCAACTGGCTGGTGTAATATGTGGTCCAGTACTTTGGTCTATATAGAGAAAGTCCAACATCATGTATGAAGACTGCCTAAAAATCATGTTCTATTTTACAGCTGCTTATGAGAAATGCCTAGAAACTGTTTTCATACTGACACAAAACAGATTAAATTAATAGGAGATCATTAAAAGGTGTGACTCTTATTATTTAGTTATTGTTATCCTGTAGTTATTCTTACCTACAGACTCAGTTCACTTTTGCTCTCTTTTGTCTAATGGTGCATTTTAATCATTTTTAGGATATTTATTCTGTTTTTACTTTTTAACAGCTAACTGGCATCAAGAATATAAACACATTACTTGAGTACAGGCAAATTCTCACTTTGTATTGATTTTAAAATCTCACTGATCATACATCTTTCATCTGAAGCACATTAAGGGCTTATTAACCTGTTACATAGGGCAGGGCGTTTACAGGGCGATCTGCTGGTTATCCCAAAGTTTCTGCTAGTAGACAAAGGTCAGCAGGTGTTTGCTGTCAGAGCTGCCAAACTGTGGCACAGTCCGACCTTTGAGGTCAAAAAGGGAACTTCTTTACTGTCTTTTAAATCTCTTCTTAAAACATTTTTATGGAAAAGCTTTCATGGATGTTTAAAAGGTAGCAATGTTCTTTTATTTTTCATTATTTGCCTTTCTTTTTTTTTCCAGGAGTTTTTTTTTAAAGCTTATAAATTTCTTCCTGTGAAGCAGTTCCTAACTTTGTTAAATATTAGTATTATTTACCTAACCATTTTAATTTGAAATGGGACTTTATAGCCTAATTCCCAGCATACAGTCTTTTGCATCGCCTTTAGTGTGCACTGTACTCAATAAAGTCCTGCTGAAGAGTCAATTAGAGCAAAGCTGGTGTATGAGTGATATTAGGTCTGTGATTTATTCACTGTCAACGATCTGTCGCAGACCCACTGGGGAGGAAACAAGAAGAAGAAAGGTAACGCAGGAGGAGGATGACATCAGTTTGGCACTGGCTAACGCACCTCCACCAGCTCAGGCGCACAATAAGGAATGAGAGAATAGTAATGAACAGATGTAAATCCATGCACCTGCACGCTGCACTGGACTAACTGAGTGAGTCACCTGGTATAAGCTTCATTCTGCGCGTTAGAAATAGTGCATGAGTGAGGGATATTTTGTGCTCCGAAATGCAGCTGAACGTGTGAGAGTGTGAAATTCTTGGAGATGTAATCTCAATTATACAGACTTTTTTTTTTAAGTGGATAAACAACCAATTAGTCACAGAGCGACGACGAAAGGTGAAACCGTGCAAGCAACTGTGGTGGAAAATACAAAAACAGCCATCACCTGCAGATGAAAGTTCATGCAGAATACATTTCCACCAGCTTCATGCAGACTTCCGAATGTACACAAACGCATGCACACTCTTGCTCCGTCAGCTGTGCTCTTGCACACGTATTTAGGGTACACACCTTCTTTTCATGCATGTGCATACGCTCACTTGCAAAGAAGAAGTGAGTGCTTTATTAATTCACTACTCACCTAATTAACTCTTTTCTGTAACACATAATTTATAGACTGTAGTGGAGATGTTTTACAGAGGAGCAGAGTTGAGACACAAAAGCAAAGACAGAGCAAAACGAGCGGTCCTTCATATTCCTTCATGACGACATCCCACTCTCAGAACAATCAAGAAAGAGGGATTCATTAAGCCTCTTTATCAGTCCATAAGAAGGGGGTGGGCGGTGAGACTAAAGTAGCTGGTGTGGGCCTATGCTAGTAGGCAAAATTTTTCACCTTACGGCTGAGTGCACAGGCAATTTTCAGTTAAATGTCCATGTGTATATGGGCTAATTGAGAATAGACTAGCAGTGGTAACGCTTTAAAGCAGCTCTCCCAAAAAAGGTGTGGCGGTGAGAAGTAGAGACGTAGCATCAAACAAAACACAGAGGGAAAGGGGACAAATGTGACAGAGGAAAAGAGGAAGGTAGTGATGAAATGGCGCGTGAAGTTCTACCTATTTTAATCTGTCTATCAGTCTGTCTCTATCTAAAGACCTGCTGTCTATTACACCTTAAATCCACAGCGAGGAATTACCCGCTGAATCCACTGATCAACATCCAGCTAATGGTAACCGGTCTCTGTTGGCCCGAAAGGGAGTGAGAATGAAAGCGGGGAATAAAAGAAAATGGAGAGATTTGGGTGAAAGAGGGAGGAAAACTGAAAACATGCTGAAGAGGGAAGATTGTGTGTCTGTGTGCGTTGGTGTGTGTGTGTGTGTGTGTGTGTGTGTGTGTGTGTGTGTGTGTGTGTGTGTGTGTGGGATGGGAAGGGGCAGGGAGGCAGTAAAAGTACTAATGGCTGCTGATGGACTGGCAGAATCAAAATAAGCACAAAATCAAGCATGAAATGGGATACACTATTAATGACTTGAGATGGCCATTAGCGCCAAACTTTGAATGCAGCTCAGCAGATCATGTGAAAAGAATATCATCCCTTTTAGGACAAATATCCCAAACTTTGCCAAAATTCGGCTGTCAAAGTCAATAAAATTACACCAGTGAGACTGCAAACTCATTTTTTTCCATTTCAAATGTGTTACTAATCAAATAAATATATATAAAGATTTTTTTTTATTATTAAATCATGACATGTGTACAGATAAAAAAAAAAGATTTCTCAAAGACAACAATTAAAAATGGGCGCACTTGGCCATGATGATGAGGACAGATGAGGAGAAGGATGCGAGACCAGACCGATATCGACTCACTGAACGCTCATCCTTTAGGCGTAGTTTAGTGTGCGAGTGCATGTGTGTGTTAATGTGTGTTTTATGTATACGTAAAGCACACACAAATACACACAGACAGACAGATAGACAGACACTAAACGATATTGAACCTACCTAGAGTAACAATTAAGAATCCCGCAAGAGTGTGATGCAAAAGAAATGGGTGTGGAGGGGACCAAAAGAGAAGGAAAAGGGGGGGAAAAATAGTCATTCATGAGGAGTTTTTTAGTTGTCTTTGAAAAAAAAATCATCCAAGATCATTAATCATCAGACTTTAGACACAGAAAGAGGCGTAGGATGGGGTATGATGACCTGACGAGCAGCATTTTGATGTGAAATGCAAAGGAGGGAATGACAGGAATGATATGGTTTGGTGAAAAGAGAAGAAGGAAGAGTGAAGAGGGAGAAAGAAAGGGCAAAAAAAATTGGAAAAACAAAATTCCCTTCTTTCCCCTCTATCTCACTCATAAATATAAGAAATTGTACACCAGGTAGATGGAGAAATAGATGAGGAGGCAAATGACGGAGAGAGAGACTATATGAAAAGATGAAGCACCTCCCAGCACTGCGATGAGGAATAAGAAAAATATAAAACGAAAGAAAAAATTGAATACTCCAAAGCCTTCCGTTTTTGCTCTGTTTAGTGAGGCGAGGAGGGGGCTTTCAGTTATATCCCCCCCTCTCTCTCTCTCTCTGCAACTGGTCAGTCTTCTTTTATCTTCTGTCCTCCTCAAAGCAAGACGCTACCTTCCCTTCAGATGAGCGGTAACCCTTTGCCAACACAGCTGTTGGACATGGCACTCAGGCTGGCTGCATGGTTGGGTGCTGCTACGCAGAGATACAGAGTGTGGAGCCGAAACACACCTCTGGCTGGCGTAGAGCGGCGAGCGCAACTCAAACTGCGCTCGCTCTCCTCCCCCTCCTTCCAAGAGAGCGAGAGAAAGAGAGAGCGATGTGGAGGTGGGTCCCTCTGTAGGGTTGTGAATTAGAGATATGCTACAGTGAAGCCAGGCTGCTGCAACAATTGTCAAGAAAATTGTTTCCAATACAGAAAGCAATGGCTCCCTCTGTTGTTGCTCTGTTTTAATTGGAGATTAGACTCGGCAGCATCTGAGGGAGACAGCGGAACGAGCTGAAAGAACAGTGCCACACTGCGAAATGATACCCCATTACAAGTAAAACACCTGCATTTCAAAGTACATTAGGACTGCTAATGATGCTTTTTACAAAAAAGTAAAAATCTAAAGTTCTGCAAAGCCGAAAGTCACAACCTATATATATATATATATGTGTGTGTGTGTGTGTGTATATATATATATATATATATACCACGGGAGTATTAAGGTTGAGCTTTATGGGTAATCTATAAGAATTGGACACTATTTTTCAAATTAAATTCTAAAAAAATAATACAAAATTCCTTTAAAAAAAACCCACTGGACTTATTAATCAGGTTATAGGGAGTTATATACATACAAAAAGAATTATTAAATATAATTATAAGAAAAATAAAAATGGGAATACGAGGCCAAAATGGAAAATTCACATTCATTTAAATAAACAGTGATCTTGGCAATGTTGTGCAAAAAATGGCTGGGGTCAAATTACATTAAGAGGTCATTTCTCGACCGCCTTGCAGATCCGTTTCCCAGTAATAAGATCTTCAATTTAAATCCTGTCTGGAACCTTTGTTGCACATCATGCTCTCTCTGTCTCTTATAGTTTTGTCTCTCTTCCCTGTAAACTGTATAATAGAGTAGAAATGCAATAAAAATGATCTTTTAAAGGGCACTTATGCAGAAATGGCAAAAAGGTCTGAGGCCATTAATCTGGCCCAGTCCGACCTTTTTTGCAAGTCTACGTTTCTTGTGAATTCTCCAAAAGCAGCATGCAGACATGGTTTGAATGGGTAACCGTCAGAAATGTTTTAGTATTACGTTTCTGATTAAGCTAAGCTTTTTAACAACAGACACAGCCACAACATCTTCTTTGTGTCTTTTGTCATGTTTCATCAACTAAGGACCTAGATGAACAAATAATGGACAGATATGATGAAAACTTGCCTGTGACCTTTAAGTGCTTATCACTTACTAAGCTCTTCAACTAGAGTGCAGCGAGTCTGAAAAGCCCACACTCTGTATTAAAACACTGCTTACTTTAGTTTTCTACAGACTGGCCATTTCACCTGTAGCTCTTGAGGCTTTCACTGTTAGAATGACTGTTAGAATATCTGACTGTTCACTGAGATGGTTACTGAAAGTGAAGTTGTTAATTTGCTGCTGGAAAAATGATAAGGGATTAAAGGGGGTTGAATAAAACCAAAACTGTTATTAGTAGTTGTAAGTTTCCCTTCAGCTTAATAACACAAAACAGTTCATTGCCTTCAGAAGCAACTCGCCTCTACCTCCACTGTTAAAGGTTGAGACTTTTTTTTTTTGAGGATATTGGACTTGCTTAAAGAAAAGGTTCGCACATTTTAAATCTATGCCAGGCATAGTTCTTGTTCTGTACAAAAAAAAATGATCTGAGGTTAATACGAGGGCTGAGCCATCCAATTAGTTTAATCAAGCAGATATCTATCAAAGTTAATGCCTTTTAAGTAGGAATTCCCTGCTGCAGCTCAACAGGGCTGCATCGTCAAGGGAAACACAAGAAAGAATTTCATACTAAAAGACATAACGTTAGACGATGGCCAATTGAACTTCCCAATTCAGATAGCTTTAAATAAATGTTTGTTGACTAAATTAAGCTTTTTTTAACGTTTTCTTAAAGAGTGCAAACAGGAGGTATAATTACAGCTACCAAACTTTTTTTTCAATGAAATAGAATTCATCAATTAATGTGTTCTTTAAAGTTTTTCTACCTTCTACCACTGTATTCCAGCCTTTTTGTTTGTATTTCTACATCAGTGTTGCACAGTATCACATTATCTTCTTCACCAATTTTATGCACAGAGAAACAATAGGTGACTCGACGACTACATTTTGCCATGATTAGATGCACACAGCAAGACGTGAGACAGACGAGCTGAAAATAACAGCAGCCGTGCTGTTGTGGTTGGTAATAAAATATAAAATATTTTCCAAAATATTTTTCCTAATCTGTCACATGCCAAAAATAACAAACGTTAAGCAAGGCAAGTCTGTTCAAACACTCTGTGCTGTCAGTGACTTGTTCAGAGCTTATCCATCCTCTTCAATGACATTAATTAACTGAGCATGGATTGGCAGTAGCTAATCCGTTGCACTTGAATTGTGCAGACAAGTTAAGAAAAGAAAATGAGAACACCATTAGCAACTGTGTGATGTAGCCAACAGACAATGTCTTCTACTCAGGTTCACAACGCATTTTGTTTCTTGAGGTTGTTTTATATACATTTATATACAAAACAATATATACATTTATTTTGACATTGATATGCCTCTTTATTTGCGAGGTATGTGGGAGAATGCTTTGAAAACTTGCGTAAGACTTTCATATGCAGATGCCGGTGTGGTTTCAGCTCAGTGAACATTCATAAAAACTGAATATGACGAGAGACACTGCATCCTCGACAAGCTCTTAGTGAAAAGGAAGTGAAAGTGAAATAGAGTTCATTTTCAATGGTTGAGTAATTTATGTTTAGTCATAGAACTGCTCTCCACTTTATAGTTTTATGGCAATTTTCCTCTTTATAGTTTGGTTTTTTTGGACAACAACTTTACCCCATTGGACTTCATTGGACTTCCTGCAGGACCACTTTTTCACTAAAATCAAAATAGCCCACTGGCGCAAATGGAGCAGGGATAGGCACAAAACAGCAAGAGGGGGAAAAAAGGAAAAAAAAATCAGAGTTTCATTCATCATAGTGGCAAAAAAAGAAAAAACAACAACAACTGTGAAGTACGACATAACAAACAATGATCGTATACAGAAACAATGAATTTGTGGCAGCACTTTTATCACCACAGTACTGATTTAAACTGTCATCTTACTTCAGAGACCGAGGCAATGTGGTTCTACCGTGAATAGCAATAAATTTGACGTTTGCTTGATGAGGGCCATTTTTCCTCTCAAATTGGACAAATGGAGGAAGAATTACACACTGGGCACGAGAGACAATTTCATCACAGACAAGTCTTTAATGATGCCTCATCTGCATTTTTCAATTGTGAACAGTGGCCAGAACGAAACATCGATTCTCTAAGATATATATATATATATATATATATATATATATATAAATATATATATATATATATATATATATATATAATTGTAGGTTGTGTATCCTTGAGGTGTTAATGGGGTTATTGAAAATGTGTATATGTGCGTATGTGTGTATATACGTATGTATGGATAGATAGAAACATATATGTGTATATATTAAAAAAATTACACATAACATATAATGTAATTGCAAGGAGGTATTTCTGTAGTCTATTGATACTAGATAGTGGAAAAGGGGTGGGATTAAATAAGCTTATGCTTCTTCCTGCTCCTTTTTGAACATGGACGTTATTTGGAGTTGTGGTTGCTCGTTTTCCTTTTGTTTGCTTTGTTCATTTGTCTCTTTTAATTCTATTTTTTTTATACTTTTTCAACATGTTCAAAATAAAGATTCAA